AGGCTTAGTTACGCTACTGCATTAATATATAAATATGTAATTGGAACAAAAGAAGCACAGAAAACTCTCGGGGACACGAAACTGTCACTGCGACAATGTTTAGCTTATCCTTCTGCTGTGTTAATGAAGAAGGCGGGTACATGTGACTAAGGAGACTCAGTGGCTTCGAGCGATAAAGTACTGGTAGACAGGCTGTGTTTATATCCTTGCATTATGTCTCAGGGCCGTCGAGAGGTTCTTCCCCCTACGTATGAGGTTGACGATTCTGCAGTTAGACAACACAGGTGTCTAAATGCGAAATGAACATTAAAATGAATTAATATTCAAATGCACGATACATAATGTACCTGCAGCATGCAAGGCATTCACTACAAAATGTAGCATTTATAGTATAAACCATGCGCACAAACTTTTTAACGTTAGCTGGCAATTGCCTCAAGACTAACGCATCATCGCGCAGACGATTGTAGGTAATTTGCTCAGGAAAATACAAAGTATGTTTTTGGTAAAACAGAAGTCCATACAAAATTTCGTGAAAAGTATTTCTGACATTCTCAAGTTATTAGATCCTTACATGCATACTTACAGACAAATATTACCGGAGGTGACATCGAAGCCACCTTTGGACTCACCGCCCTGAAAACTTGAAACCCTACGGAAATGACAATGACGTCATCAAGACTCATGACGTAATTACGCAGATGTAGCATGTATCACATTGGTATAACCAATTGTCGACAACTGCGAAGTAATTTTGCCTAGAAGGCGCCAATTAAACAATCTTCAAGCCATTTTTTTAAATCCGTTTATCCAATTCTGGGTTATAGGCTCAATCAGTAATTTGTAAGACGACTGGTAGAAGGCAGCACGGCCTCTTCGGTTGACACATGCGATAACCAGACGGACTAACTGAAGGTACCCTTATGATGATTTTCGCTTAAGCTGAAACGTAAATAACACCTAAAAACTGTGGTTTCCTTCCGAATCTTAAAGTACATCGCATGAAATTACCACGGATCACAAACATAAGGTATTACCAACCTTTGATAACCAACTGTGATTTCCATGATAATATAATCCGTCAGATGGCTCTGATTGTGAATTGGCCGCTTGTTCTATTTTAAATTAAAGCCGTGATTATTTGCCGTTAGAAATGCTTATAGTTTAGAAGTATGAGTTAGAGGTCTTAAATATACTTTAAAATATTTATTACTCGAATGGAAGTAGAATGGACCGCAATAGCATATGTCGGTTACAAGGTATGTTTCAATGAAAGTATATTTCTATTTGACGGTTTGTATTGCCAGTGATTTAATTTGATAATAAAATGTTCTTGTTAGCTACAATATATATGTTATTAACGTTTCACACACTAGTCACCTGTCATATAGAACTGCTCCAAAAGCGAAATACATCTGCTTTAAATTAGCCAGTTATGAAATTTAAAACATTTAGGTTAGAATCGATCTTTGTTTTTAGTTTAAAATAACCCTATTTAATATAGTTACAATTCTTGCCGAAAAGAAAACATGCATTGACATTAAAATGTTTCTTTTGTCTATTCGTTGGATTCCTTGACAGTGGAAACCCGTGCTTTTTATAAAATTGCGTAGTGGAAAATGTAAATAGTTTGTAGGATTGTAGCCAAGGTTAATCAAACTTAATTTCAACTAGGATTATTTAAGTCCAGTCATGTAAGTAATTTACTTTAATAATTGCATGCACACTCGATGCTTAGCTTTATGGATGATTATTCATATACGTTGCAATTTTATAAAGTACTGAATATGTTGTGGTAATATGTAAATGGCATAATGATTAATTACTGTTTGTTAAAAATTTTAGTCCAGATACAAGATATGGAATATAAAACATCAGTTTTCAGAGGTTTGCCTTTGAAAATTAAAACAGAAGCCTTGGATAACAGTGAAAACGTGCTCAAACCTACAGTGAATGTAACAACAGATATCGGTAAAGCAAAGTTGGAAAAACTGTCGTCTCTGAGAGCTGAGGTAGATAAAGCATGTAGTAACTATTTCCAGCATCGGCTTCTGTTATCTGCAGTGAAAGAGGTCGCTTGTGAAAGTGATTCTGAATTTCCACTGATTACTCAGAAAGTTCAGCAGATTATTGCATCACAGAAGGTGGCAAATATTGCAGATCTTAACTTTGGGAAGAGTGATCATCTGCATGAATCCTTGATGGTTCTTGGATTGGAAGACAGTCATAAATGTGGTTCAAGGACTGTGCTGTCTTATACTGAGAAGATTAACCTGAAGTCTGTGGTAGAGGACAAACTTCTAAGGAATTGCTCCAGAATTCAGAACTGTATATGGAAAGGAGGTAATGCTATATCAATTTACATTATGTTACATTAGAGAATTAGAGAACCATGCCAGTCAAAGATTTTATGAACTAGAATTCTTAAATGAATGTACTAATTTCAATTTAAGAACATCAGTTGTTTAGTTCGTATTGAATATGTGACTAACTTATTTGCTGTCTGTGAAAGTGTGAAGCAGATCATACAAAGTACAAGCATCCTGTTTGTGGTGCATGGGCCAACATTGATTTGTATGAATTAGTTAAAGTGTAAAAGGAAATTGCACTCTTAAGTTTAGAAGGATATATCAAATCTGATGTCATGTTTTATATTTGAATTTCTTTTCAGGAAAGGAGTTGCCACAAAAAGTAAAAATCCATAAGAATGTTGTTACTTCTGACAGATTTGAGCTAGTTAGATCAACAAGTTCACAATTTAAACAATCACATGAGAACTTAGTGGCAGTCATAAGCCTTATAAATGAACTGCTTGACATGCGGTTGACATTCTCAGAGACAGTCAGGACAGAAGCAGTTCCATGGTTTGAAGCCAAATGTGAAAGTTTGGAACTTGAAGCAAAGTAAGTGGAATTTGGATTATAGATGACTGGATTTTGTGTAAAGCATATATACAGAGATGATCAGGTTCCTTTTATTCTGAGATTTTAGGTTCTTATAGTGGTAAATTTGTTGACTGTGGTCTTTTGCGTTGCAATGTCATGTGGACTTGAAGATGGTTATCAACATTTTGGAGGAATGTATTACCTTTATCTGCATTTTATATTTTTATGTTTACTTCTTTGTTATAGCAGTTCACTCTCATTCTTCAAGGTTGTTTTGAGTTGCACTTTAATCCTTTCCACAGAGGAACACCATGAGCAAGACTCAGTACATGCAGGCCAAAAGAAGCTGAAGGGTTTTCTTTCTGGGAAACTGCTCCATGTGGTCTGCATCGTACCCTTTCATACTATCACCTAAAATTGTGCTTTGAAGAACCACTTAAGGGATCTATACCATACAGTTGATGTTTCAATCCATGTAATGGTGGATGGGACAGTAATATATTTATACGATACATGGCCTCCCCACCAAGTTATTTGTGCAATTACGGAGTTGCTTTGGTATGGCACAATAATTTTAGCTTCAAAAAATAGTTTACGCTTGAACTTAATGAACTGCATCAACCATGTTATTTTGATGACAAGAACTGTGGATATCCGGGTGCCTTCTAATTCTCTGATTATTAGTAGGATAAATGTTTGTTGGTTTCAGTGTTTTGGAGGAACATATGGCCTGCATTTTTAGGGAAAATTGGTAATCACCTTCAAGACTTCACAGCAACACAACCCAGAAGTCCATGATTGACATCTTCACTACCGTGAAAACCTAAAATCTCAGACAATGTTCCAGATGGTCACATTATAAACTCAGATTTTCTATAAATTCATTATGTATTGTAATACAGGCTGTGATTACAATGCTTCTTTTCTCTGTGGGTTCTTGTAGTGGCACTTCTGACCTTCAAGTGCTTTTGTTTTTAATATTTATGTTTCATTTCTAATGTTTACAGAATTTTGGAGCTACAAATTTTGGTTCACATGCTCAGTGAGAATCAAGATATGCCTGAAGCAATGAAAAGAATTGATGATTATTCACAAAAACTCTATGAAGAAATGAAGTCAGAACTGGAGAAACTTATGGATGATGAAAAAACATATGATAAACTTACTGGCACAGAATATGATAATGTTGTAAAAAAGTATAAACAATGCAAGCAAGAGTTAAATTACAAAACATGGGTGCTGAATGAATTGTCATGAATATGTTTATGATAGTTTATTGAATATAAAAATATAATTGTTCTCTGTAAAGTTTCCTTCCTGTGGAAATGAAAGTTCTCTAATCTGTTTTTGAATGATTGCTGCAACATTTCTCATACAGTTTGTCATTTATGTCATTTTACGTTACTGTGGTGTGGTCCCTATGACAGTACTATTAACTGCAGAAAATTGCTACAGTTTTATATATGTTAATTTACAATAGAACAGTGATGCAGAGGATGAACAGAAGAAGTGAATATGCAATCACTTTTGTTCTCTTACAATTTGTACATTTCTGAACCAGTAATATAGATACAAAGATGGCTATCTGTTGGATTGTACTGCCATGTAGTCTGGTGATGAGTCATTACCTTGATGATGAAGGCAGCAAGGTACTCTTAAATGTTGGTCAACATTTACCAGACCACACAGTGCTACAACCCAGAAGACAGTCATCTTCATACCCACTGCCATGAGAACCTCAAATCCTGCTTAATATGGATATATTTAGAGTTTGTAACTTTTTTATGATTGTATATGTATGACTTTTTCTAAATCAAAAATATGTGATTGAGTCAGCCTAGAAACAATCAACGTTTTTATATAATTTATTTTCTAGCTGCTTGTCTAGTGTTTAAGGTATCCTCACCTCATATGTCAATTTAGAAGGCAGGCTAGTGTAAAAAATAAAGAATGATAGGATAATTCTGCACATAATATGAAATATCCAATGTTTTATTTGAGTATCATGAGGAGCATCAATATCCTGTCCATAGTCATGGTGGTAGCTGTTACAATTTTTTTTGGGCGGGGGGGCCTCCCTTACTCGTAGGAATGTTGCTTGAATAAAATACAATCTAGTCACAAAAGATGTCACTAGTCGTCAAAATCCTACTCTCGTCAAGAACAATCAGGAAGTAACTGCGTTTCATCTTCTGAGGTAGTAGAAAGAAGATGCGGGCGTGTGATACTTAATCTGTGACCTGCTTCCAACCAATAGCATGAAAGAAGCACTGCTTTGCTGTGTAACACTCGTGTGAGTTTTGGGTGTAACAATTTCAAATTCCTCTGTCGAAATAAATATGATCATGAAGTGTTTTTACGAAGCAGTTTCTGTATTGTAAAACGTCTGTGTATTTTATGAACTTGGAATGCTGATCAAAAATGGAAAATACCGAGAAAGGAACTTTTATTACCCTATTCTATCTCGTTTTCAACACAATCAGTTCTATTGTAATAGTATTACTGAATAAGTGGGTGTATAAATATGTAGGTTTTCCCAATTTGACATTGACGTTTCTGCATTTTATCGTCACATTTTGTGGGTTGGTTCTTTGTCAGAAATGCAACGTCTTTACTGTGAAAAGTGTGCCTTTAAAAGATATGATACCACTGGCATTCGCTTTTTGCGGATTTGTAGTTTTTACGAATTTAAGTTTACAAAACAACACCGTCGGAACTTATCAAGTTGCTAAAGTGATGACAACACCATGTATCATCGTGATACAGATATTTTTCTACAATAAAGATTTTCCACTAAGAGTTAAACTAACACTGGTAAGTGTATGGGAGAGTTTTGTTTAATACTCTTTATGCCAAAAGTATCGAATTATTCAAATGACATGTATCTGTTGGTGTGTTGCGGTGTCAGTGTACCATAAAGTGGAATAATTAATGAAATAACAACTTCATAAGTTACAACTGCAAAATGCTGCACTGAAACTAAGTAATGCTTTGACTTCAAAAATTTCATTGTGAGGTGCACTAACACGGGAATGATTTAACTGAACAACTGTCCAATTCGTGTATATAGTCTATATGTTTGGTTCTAAAATTGGATGTAGTTCAGAGAAATGTAGATTTGCTTCATAAACATTCTGTGGCTGGTTCCAGATACCCATTACTTTGGGAGTATTTATGAACTTCTACTATGATATCCAGTTCAATATCCTTGGAACAATTTATGCTACCCTAGGAGTTATAGTCACATCTCTGTATCAAGTGGTGAGTAGTTTTGTATTTATAGTGTTGTTCATGCTTTTTGTAGAGAATTCATCAAGTCTAATACCAGCATTTCATTGGCTGCTTTTGCATTCATCATTTGAGATTAATTTTAAAAAAGGAAATAGTATAAATGAAACACTTCATCTTAATCCCTGGAAACAAATTTTGCCTTGAATCTTCCTTCAATAAATTATTTTAACTCAAATTTCGTTTTGGTCTGTATGTTAAAATTTGCACTACTGCTTTTCTTTAAATTCCTGTTTTGGAGATGTTTTCATGATCTGTTTTCCAGATTTTAATGAAAAATGTTGAAACTACTTAATGAAATCTGAAATCCACACACTGATGATCGCCAATAATTACATCTACGTGTGGACTTAACCTCCAGGGAAGGATGTTGGATAAAATTTTGTATGAAGTTGATAACAGTGATATGCCTCAATAATTACTACAGTCAGTTTTATCGCCCTTCTTGTTAATTGGTACAATAATAGACTCCTTCCACTGCTGAGGCAATTCTTCCTTATTCCAATTAGAATTAAGGAGACCATAAGATTACTGATTACAAATAAGATTTGAGGTTTTCACTGCAGCAAAAATTTATAATGTTGTCTTGTGGGATATAATGCCATGTATTATTGTATTTACCAATATTTTGTAATAATCTATGCTCAGACCCTGAAGATGAAGGTGATGGGTCTCTCCAGAACATTAACCACTAACAATGTGAAAAGGCCTCATAAGCGAGAAGGCCAAAATAAATGTTATTGAACATATTCTGTATTGTGTCTCTTGGAGGCTTTTAAGTTTAATAAATGTCTTTGTAACCTGTTACACATTTAATTTGGAAGGAATTGATTCTTAAACATATATATATATATATTTATTTTGGTTCTTAGTTGGTGAGCCAGAAACAACATGAGCTACAAATGAATGCAATGCAGCTTCTATATTATCAGGCTCCATTGTCAGCCTTAATATTACTGATGATAATACCTGTCTTTGAACCAATAAGCACCACCATCACAATACACTGGACTGCAGAAGTAGTTGTAAGTCATAAATTTGCATATATTAAGTATTATTTTATTACTTTGTAGTGATATATTGAGTTTGTGCATATATTTTTGGTGTGTTAACAGTTGTTTTTACAATTAGTAGAGGAACCATCATCATCATCATTATGAAATCATTGCCACCATCACCACCTTATGGTTTGTATTACCCTCCAAATAAATATAATTGATGTATAAAGTGAAGCTTTTGTGGCAACTGAAGTTGCTACAAGCCGCATCAGGTGGCTGAATGGTGAATGCACCACACCATGGTACTGACTGGCATTATATGACACTTGACATAACATATTTTGAGAAAATCTAGGAGAACTGACTGTAGCCTCAGGATTAGGACCATCTTGGAGGCTGGCTGTGCTGCTATATCAATGAACTGGGCCATGCTCAGTGTTGAATGGGACCTCCATCCTCTGATGCTCCTACTTAGATCCTCAAATTGATGACTGTTTGACTGCTGTTTATCACTACTGAATTTGCTGAAGCAGATGAAGTGTTTAGCTGGCCATTCACCTCCGTTTGGTGTTGGTGTTGAAAACTCATCAGAATACACTGATGCTGTTTACGGACTGTTATAGTGAGATGTATGGGCAGAGGGACAGCTTTACTTATATTCATGTGTACTTCTCTTTCTTACTTCATCTCTTTCTGTGTCTTGCAGACTTCAGGCAAACTTACAGTGTATTATTGTCATAATTCTTTTGGAGCAGTGATAAAACTATTTCAGCATTTTTGCCTCTGTTTGTTATCCATATTTTTCTGATTTCAATAGGAATAGTAATGCACATACTGTACTGTGATCAATAAAACGTATTGCATATTTAAAAATTGTTTCACATCAAGTTTGTAATTCATGCCTGTATGATTATTTAATACAAGACATGAGCTCTCATATTTGTTCCTAGCAGAATGTAATAAAACTCTTTTGCACCATGTGCAGTAGTTACACATTTGTCTCTTGTTGGTGGCTCATACCTATTGTATTTTCTTTCTGTATTATTTCAGGGTTTAGTGGCAAGTTCATGTATAACAGCATTCTTTGTTAATCTCTCTATCTATTGGATAATTGGAAACACATCACCACTTACGTATCCTTTTAAGCGACTTTTGCCTTAGACATGGATTCATTGTGCATATGTTTGGTAAGATTCGTCACTTTTATGAAACATAAACATCACATGGAGTATTCCGTACCAACTAAATTCATTTATCAAATATAAGTTTGTGTGATATGTTGATGATACCAGTAGCACATGAACCAAAGTAATGATTTTTTATTAATTGTTAAAACTTGGTGTTAATATAGATAAAGATTTGTAATATGAGATGTTTGGTGATAAACTTGCAGCAGTATTAAGGAAGTAAAACAGGTGATTCAGAGTTTTGAATAACTGTTTTAACACTTAAAATACTACTGATAAAAGTTTTGCCTCTAGCTTGACTATAAACCAGTTTATCCAGCTGTATACACATTTTTCATGTTGTATGACATTAAGCTGTCATGATGAGACAAATAACTCCTGCTTTCTTTTGAAGGTGGTCTCCTCTCACAATAAATGGTAAAGACCTTTGTTGGAAGAAGTAGGTGTATTTTTATTCACAATTAGGAAGATAAAGTCCTGGTAACAACAATGAAATGGTAAATTTGGCTTAGCACTAAAAGGTTTAATCATAAGTCCAGCCTACATGGTGTATAGTGGGACAACTTCACTCTTTTTTACTTTTGGTTTACACAAATGTTAGAATTCTTGACTCTGCAACAAGATACAACATGGTGGGCCACATCAAGTTTTGTCTCACTGTACTTGGTGGTGTTCTTCTGTTTAAAGAGCCATTCCATGTGAACCAGGGTGTTGGAATCATACTGACCGTGTTTGGAGTAACAGCTTATGCACATGTAAAGGTACAGAGCTCTTATGTAAAATCTTGAGGTGGTTTGCTGATTTATGTTTCTTATATATATGTGTGTATAATCAACTACTTATCTACTAGAATCTCAGATGTGTGTCTCTGATACTCAATGCAGGTCTCCCTTTATGCTAATTCTTATTCTGTTTGGTACATGAAGGTAAGTCTTAAGTTGTTAGGATTTTTTTAAAATGAAAGTCATAATTACAGATCATTGCGTACATAATATGCTGTCCTGAAATTTTAATTAATCCATATGTTTGTCCTGATTTCCTCCTGCTGTGCTGTCTGAATTTCTTTTTCCTGCCAAGTAAGTTAATAAAGTTTAACCCTTTAGTGGTAACCATATTTACCACCTGCTTTGACAGTTTTATGTTTTGCCCACAGATTTTATTTATTTGTGTCATATGATTCTTATAGTACACAGTAATTACAGTATTTCCATAAACAGCATTAACCATTTGATCTTTGTAATGGTTATGGTTTTTTTATATAAGGAATATATCAAGGCGATCTTCAGCTTCAAAGGTTAATGATGACATATGCATATGCAGCAGTTTGATCTAGAGCAATATGGATTGTAGATACACTGCTGTTGCTGATGTGAATATGGAAAAATAATTTGTTGTGTCTTATGTACTAGGGTCATTGAATAAAATATAAATTGTGTTAGACCTAATTTGATATATGTGTAGTAGTCTCATATTAAAAGTTTTGAAAATTAAATATGGGATGATAACATTATGATTGATCTTATGGAGGTGCAGTATGGTTGTAGTATGTTGTGAGGATGCTTCAGGACCACGTTCAGTCATAAACTTTGGTATTAGTGGAGTTAAATGTTAGGATCCTGCTACCGTAGTGTAGGTTAGTTACAAAGGCCAGAAATGACTGAGACTATAGGCATCACTGTATTACACCTGGCAACTAGGCTCTCCACACACACAGACTTGGGTTAGTCAAACATTTACATAGAAGGTGACGGCAGCAGTCATCAGCGGTGTCCTGCAACAAATTTATTTCTGAGTTCAGTCACACGCATTGGTGGACATGTCGTTGAAGGTGATTATCACGGACATTGTTGCACTATGTGGTTCCTGTCGGCTTCTTACATCCACCATCAGCTAGGGACAGTGCGAGGCAAAGCTGAACCTGGCTGCAGTAGTCTTCCGATGGGTGGTGTCCAACAGTAGAATTGAGATTGTGGAGAAGGAAGTCAGGCCAGGCCAACCTGCAAGCAGTCTTTATCCAGCGTGTCTCTGAGATCATGGAGGATAAATTAATTTTCCATAAAACAGTGTGTTTACCTGTATGTGTTTAAATACAGGAGTCATGATAGGAAACCATCAGATATTTATGGGTTTAAGATTTTGGGCTGTACAGATTGGAGCAAGAAAGTGACATGTAGGTGTCTGTTTCAAGTCATAGCCAGGTTCTGTCTACCCTGACATGCTTTTGTAGGTTTGCTACAACAAACTTTGCCATTCATATTCTTATCATGTTTTTTTCAAAACTACACAATATTTGCAATTGTTTTAAAGTGTTGAAGAAATTTACATCAGTTGGTTGATCAACTTAAATTTGTATCTTTTACGGAAATGGAGTGAATGTATTTTTATAACTGTCAAAAAGTGGTCCACAAATAAAGAAGTTCTCAAATTCTTGACCTCACTACCTATATGCATACTTTGTTATGTTTCTGAAATTTCGTAGCTCATGGTTCACTGCTTGGACATTTAAAATATATGATTATTTAGTTTTAGCCTCTTGTTATGTTATGAAGCTTAGTGTAGTGTATTGGTTATTTCTGCAGTTTAGCAGAAAGTATTTCTTTAAACTATGTGTAATCTCCGACAAATTTATCCATTTATGTGAGAGGTATTAAATGTATGTATGATTTGTTTAACATTTATTGTCCATGCATCATAGCTCATACATGATCTAGTTGGTCATGTGTTGTATGAATATGCATCTAAACCATTAACCCCAGATTTGAAATTTGGCTAGCAGCCCCATTATACAGGAATTTAAATACCATGTTCCAATGAGATAAAGGTTAAGTCCAGTTGTTCTTTGTACTCAGTGCTAAATTATTAATGCTTATGGACCTTTCCCACACAAAACTTTTCAGCACATAAAGGGCTTAGTGGCCCAGGAGATGAAGCCCATTGAACACCTCTGTTACTGTTTTAGTTGTCTATACATCGTTTTCAGCTTCAAATGTGTGCATATGCGTTTATCTCTTGTGCTGTCATTAGTTCATGTATGCACTAAGTTATGTGCATTTTGCTTTTTGATTGTCATACATTTTAATAACTAGATGGCAGTATTCATAATAACCTTTCAAAGCATGCAAAATGCATGTAAAGATAAATAAATCCCTTTCAGAAAACAGAATTCATGCTTAATAGAGGTCACAATTTATCTTCTACAACATGTCACTTCTGTTATTAGATAGGAATATTTAGTCATGTATACTTGTATTTCAGGTTTCTAAAATCAGATATTTTAATGCATATAGTCCTATTTATGAATATATTTTAAGTTTGGACTGCCTGTGGATTGATAACTGTCATGTAGATTTGGCATTGTAAGGAACATGAAATGTAACAGATTTAACACTACAACAGAAGAGGAAACTAATTTATTGGCAATGATCATTGTCCTCATTTTTGGATTTATGCTGCTTTTAGCTGAAGTTGCAAGCCTATAGTTTTATTGAAGGTGACTGTCATCTGGGTTGTTATGCCCCTATCATTAAGGCCCCATTACCCTGATGATGAAGGCAGCAAGCACCTTTGAAATACCGGTAAACTTTACCAGACTACACGGCACAACTCAGAAGACAGCCATGTTCATAATCTCTACTGGTTCTGTTATAAGAGTAATGTGATGTGTGGAATAAAAGACTTAACAGAGGTGAAACGTGGAGGGTAGATGCTACAGAACCAGTTACAATTTCTGTAACGGCTTGGGGTTCTTTAGTTGATTCAATGATACAGTTTTAAATATATTTCATCTCCATATATTAATTCTATGTTCCATGTATGCCTTTGCTTGTCACAACCTGCAGCAGCATCCTAAATGTTAGGTGCACAATCAGCATTACTGACGGCATATACTTTGAAAACTTGTACTAAACATAAACCAAACTTAATATGGAGTAGCAAGTTGTAATTTTTATTAACTAACTCAGTGGAGCAGAACCATTCTTGAGAAGGTGTTAGGGGACAGATAATCGTACTTGAGTGTCTTTTGTGGAACTTGAAGGTTATTACTTTGTTTACAAGAGACCACCACTGGACCTTGTCTTGAGCTGAAAAATCCTGCCAACTCCCTCACATCTTACTCCTTTAAGATCCAATTTAATGTTATTCTCACTTCTATGCTGGTATCTCTGAAGTGATCTCTTCATTTCTGAATTTCTTAAATTTTGTATCTGTTTCTTAACTCTTCATTTCTGCTCAGCACCAGATTCTCAGATGCTCAGTTAATTCTCTTCCTATAAGGTGATAGATCATGTTTTACACCCTTATAAAGCAGTAGGATAAAGGATTTAGAACCATTTTGTTTCAAAACACCATAAATTTAAATTCATTTCATTATATATACCATATTCCAGATTATGACCTGTGTTCATTCTTAGCCTTTAATACTTTAAATTCACCATATTTCAGGCTGGAAGTGCCCTGGGACAAGGCAGCTATTATCATCATTTAGGATGCACAAAAAAGTCATCAAAAATAGGGCTACTTTTTCAGTCACCTCCTTAGGGATGGTGTTCCTAGTGTTGTACGTGGGACTCTTCAGCCTGAAAGAAAATATTAAGTGTGCTTGTACAGGTGTGTCAGAGGAGTCATATATTTATTTAATGTAATAAATTTTAATGTACTTATGGTTTTGAACAGTTAATGTGCATAGATGAGGCTTTATCTGCCTTTAGAATTTGCTTGTTTTACATAATCTATGGACTGTTACTTTGAAAAAGATGTAATCAAGATTTTAAACACTGAGTGGTCTCATGTCTGTTGGCTTTCTGAATTCCATCTGATAATCTGCTTCAGATTCTATAAATGCTGACTTTTCTAAATGTACTAATTTATGTTGGTTCACAACAACAGTTACAGTTCTATTAATGTTTAAAATAAAGTAAAACACAAGTACATAGTTAAAGGAATGCTTGAAAGACATGTTCACTATAGTAACAGTTATTAAATCTAAGATTTGGGTTTCCCAGAATGGTGATGGTCTTTTGAAGATCGAGGCAACATTCCTCCAAAACCCTGGTAATCTGCTACAGGACTATATTGCATCATAGCCCAGAATTGACAGTTAGTTAATTCAGCATAGTTTTGACAATTCTGTAACTTTTGTGAGACATACTAGAATGTGGATAACCTCTATTCTGCTCATGCACATATTTCAGAATAGATGAATTGGGGACACAATACATTTCTTTTATTCATGGTTCTGCTCTGATATTATTTTAGGTGCATAGGAGATAAGATTATAAATTTGTTATAATTTCTACTGTAGTTATATTTGAAAAGGTACTGTCCTCTAAAAAAAAATTTGTTCCCCTGTTATTGTATGGACTTGGTGTGTGTAAATTTCACATCATATTGCCCTGCTATCCTTTTCCACAGTTCACCAATCATTCTTTCTTCTGCCTCATAATAAAAATGCTCCACTGGTTCCAAAATTATTCACAGAAAATATATGTTGAGTGGTTTTAAGTTGAATTGAAATGAAATTAACTTTATGGGGTGTAATTTTATATAATCTGAAAACAGAAGTCAGTTTATTTTTATATTTGCATGTTTCTTAGTACAGGACTTCTGAAACCATGACTCATAATCTTACACACCCCTCTGCAGAGAGTTTGAAGAACCTTTGAATGGTATTACAGACTTCTTGAAATGTCACAGTTGAGGCAAGAATGATTACTGTTCTCATGCATTGCCTGTTAGCATTTTGGTTAGCTTCTCTCCTTCTGTGATGACACTTGTTCTGACAATTGCATGCACTGAAATTGTCTAGTTCATACTGAGTCTTGGTGTGTAGAGGTTAGGGAAGTTCAGTGCCAACAGGTATTATTAATTTATGATGTTATTAATTTTACTTATTTTCTCACCCCTGAATTATATTTGTTCAACCATTTAAAATTTTCGACTTTATACTTATAGTGAAAATGTCTTAGGAAGAAGAAAGTTTTAGACTTTGGGGTTAAATATGAGAATAGTCGAGGATGTTATAAAGATGCTACAATTAGTAACCCAAGTGAAAGTAATAACAAATCAAACTGGTAAGAAGTATTTACTACTTGTTTTTTGTAGTCTTTGTGTTGATGGCAAGGAATGAATGGTGGATATTTTGTCACTTAAATCTTTTTCTACTAGCAGTATGAAACCAAGCAAATTAAAATTGCATCTAGAAATAAGTGGCTAAAAAAATTCTTTTTGTTAAAGACAAGGGTGAATTTTACAGTAAAGCTGGGAATCTAGGCACATTTCAGCAACCCACTGTTGGATAACACCGTGCTTTACGTATAACTTTTGTGAAACAGATGACAAATCTCTGGCTTCAGTTTTCAGTTTAGGTATGAAGAAATTATTGCAGATGTCAAAATGAACTTCTAATTTCTATATAAAGAGGGGAGAATGAGCTTTTAATTGAGTGAAAGTAATTCATTTATTTTTGCTTTGGAGGAAAGGTAATAGATTTTAGATTGTCATTCTGGTTATGATGCATAATATAGTTTCACAAGAAACTTGTAGTTTTCATAGTTTATTGCAACTTATTTTTTTTATTACAAATGTCAGTGACAGTAACCAAAGGACCTTGTTTTTTATTCCCAGTATACAGTTGGTAACATTAATTTTGATGCTTTTATGGTATTGCCATACTGAAACCTTACTTGTCATGTTGTGTGATGGGTGGGAAGTTAAATATACACTATGTCGACTCATTAGAACCAAAGACCTGCCTACTTTGTACAGGAGTACAAATACATTTTAAAAACTATTGTAATGTATGTAGACTAAATGAAAAAACAGGCTTATGTTATTGGAATTTTGTTTGTTTGATCAAGTGTCATAATGTATACAGTAGACCCTTATTATATGGTAGATGTTGAGGAAAGCTTCAATACCCACATTATAAGGAAAAACATGTATCTAATTTTCATACCTGTGCTCTATTCAACTCCATGGTATAACATCTATTGTAACTTAGAAATTTGTTTGTTTTAAACTGCTTAATTAAATTGTTTTAAACTGCTTAATTAAATTGTTTTACATTTTTATGCATGTCAGTAAAAGTTGCAATTCCAGGGTAAAGATGAAGTAGAGTTTTGCTGTTTACATCACATTCCTTAGGGAACAGATCAGGATGTTTGTGTTGTAGATTATAAGACATCATAGGCTTTTACTTCGTTTGTTTATGATGCGAAAGAATATACATGGTCGTTGAAGCAGTTATGTTTAAAAGAATGGTGAATTTGTTTATAAGTTTAATTGTTATTTTTATTTACATTCCAGAGATATTCCATATTTTGGAAGTGGTATTCAGCTTTGTGTGTGTACTGTATTGCATGGAGAACATAACATGTTTTTAATTGCATAACTGTAATTATCCTAATTCATACTAGAAAATAAAGAGCCAATTCTGTGATGTAATTCATTTTTGTACAATAATTGTATTCAACTTTTATACAAGAAAGTTGTTGTCATGCTAGTATTATGTTGAAGATGGTTGTCTTCTGGGTTGTTGAGCTGTGTAATGTCGCAAAAGTTTACTAACATTTCAGAGGTTCTTGCTTCCTCCGTCATCAGGGCCCCATCAATTTAAACTTCTATCAGACTTGAGGAGCACAGCAGGATGCTGTCTGAGCACATCGTTTCCATAGTAGACATTCTGCTGAGGAAAATCTTCAGTTTTATTCAAACCATTGTGGACGACCTGTCCCTAAAAATACTGTTCATAAAAGCATCCATGTGAGTGTGAGATGGTTTACATTGGACAAGTTGACAATTACGTTGAAGCCAGGTTTAGGCAGCATAATTGGGAGAAATCAGCTGTGGCTGAATGTAGCATGAACCTGAGTCACCATATCCTCATATATGACACCAATGTTTTGGCCAAGATATGCAGATGCACGGACAAGATTTTCAGGGAAGTGATACAGATCGAGCTTCAGCCTGACAGCACGGACAGAGGATGATTTCTTCTTGAACAAGTCATGGAAGCCTCTTGCATAAGACTCTGCATGTAGTTAATCTTCTGGTATAATTCTTGCATAATTAAAAAAATATTTGTGATATAACAGTCTTTTCAATAAAATACTCTTAGATTCATATTGGTCTGTGGTGTTCTTGATGTCAGATATACAGTGTGTCCACAAAGTCCCTTCGGGGTTTTGAAAAATTGAGCTAGCCGCATGCGGTTTGCGGCAGATTACAGTGAAACTCTCGAAGTTTTTTACTGACCTTAGTAGACCTCGATGTGGGCTCCCGGTAGCACGGAGAGCGTCCAGACGATATTTGAACTCTTGCCATGTTCTGTAAAACATGCCTGCTGGAATAGCCGAGATCGCATTCCTGATACGGGTATTCAGGTCATCAAGTCCGTTAACTGGTGTTCGGAACACATTGCCCTTGACATAACCCTACAGGAAAAAATCCAGTGGTGTTATGTCTGGTGAACGTGGAGGCCAAGGCATTGTTTGTCTCTGCCGATCTATCTTCCTGGAAATGTCCTGTCTAGGTAAGCGCGTACCTGCAGACCCAAATGAGGTGGAGCACCATCTTCCAGAGTGTGGCTAGCTCAATTTGTTTGCGCGCCACAATTTTTCAAAACTCCGAAGGAACTTTGTGGACACACTGTATGTTGTGTGTGTTTTCTTATGATTGTTATGTATAAAAAGGTCTACTTTCTAGGAACATTCTTATTTAGTTTCTTTGTAACTGAGTTGTTTGTGGGTTTGGTCATGTTCGTTGCATTGCATACACAACTTACTTTACGCTTACTTGCTGCATGTATTAATTGACATCTGTGCATGCTTCAAAGTCTTCATATATAGTGCATTAGCAGTTATTTAATAAAATGTATATAATTATTTAAATCTCATTTTTATATCAGAGTAAATGCCATTATATAAGTTGTAGTCTTCTAGGTTATGCCATGTATCTTTATAAATGTACATAAGTAATTTATAAGAACTTGCTGCCTGTATCTTCAGAGGGGCAGCATGTACTACCAAATGTTTAGTTTTTGTCTGCTAGATTAAACAGTGCAATAAACCAGAATTCTGGAATCTGTGGAAAATTTCAAGGCCTGCAATTTTGTTAGTGTCTAAGTTTATATAACGTTGCATCTTATCTACATAATTTATTGTTTTGAATGGGAGAATATATGACTTGGGAATGATATGGAAGGAAGCAGTCGTTGCCTATTAGGTACTAGCCCAAACATTTCCTTGAAGGGGCTGAGGTAAATCACAAACTGGAGTCAGGTAGCTGGCCTCTGTACCAAGGATGTAACACGGGACCTCCTAAATTCAGAGCAGGAGTTTTAACCAAAATACTCTGATGTCTGGTAATGATAACCCAGGGCATTAAATTCTGTTGGTTTCAGATAAAATTAACTCTTTCTTAATCTTGATTCACACTTAATACCAATAAAACCATGTTGTTTAATGAATATTGATTTATGTTAATACAGAAATATTTTAGGTCATTTTTTGCTATGAATGTAGTATGCAGTTTCAATAATTAAGAACTTTTTTTGAAGATAAATGCATATTCTGTAAGTTTTAGAATGTTATGCATGTAGCTGTAAGTCCTGCATGCTTAATTATTTTCTTTCTTCATTCTGCTTTATTTTGTAGCTAAAGAAACACGATGATCAAGCGGATGTGGAAGAGCCATTAATAGTTCAAGATAATGACGAAACACCTAATTTCACGAAAACCATCTAATATGTGAGTTGTCAGATATCCTTCATTACTGGATTTTCATTGCCAGTGGAGAGTCACTTTCTTTTATTTACTTAAATAATTAAAGTAAAATAAGTTATTAAAGTTAAGCTGGTCAACTGACAGTCAGTAAACGTAGTTGTGGGTAAGATACCATAAATACAACATGAAATATGTGTTCTACAGCCAGGATCAGTATTATTATTCTTTTGGGTTTCCACGAAGTTTGTATTTTGGAAATGTTTAGCTATTTTATTGTTTTTTTCCTCAGAAGTAGACTGCTGACAGGAAACTACAGTGGTATGTGATTCTAATACGTCACTGCCGATAGTTTAGCATTGTCATTGGCAGCTTTTTTAACGCTTGATTTTATTGATCAGCAGATGTACAAATATTAAGAGACCTGGTAGATAATCTGTAGGGCTAATGGTAATGATTGGTTTTATTAAACAACCGTTGAAACTCGAGACATTTTATAGGTCACAGATTTTGGTCCAGATGATGGACACTGTCCTAAGAAATTCTTATATTTTAATGGTATTGCTGAAATACCAGGTTATTTTATTTAATTGTAGCCTACAGTAGATGCTGAAGAAAACAGATTGGTCTGTAATAATTTAATAGTCATTGATAATTATTTAGTATATATTATCATTAAATTTCAAAAGCGATATATGCAGTAGTCATTGAAAGAGCCACAAGTATACGAGCACATTTGTAATAATTACAGGTTTTTGTTAGATGGTTTTGGCAGTGAGAGTGTTCTTTCTTGTGGCCAGAGACGCGCACTAGTTTCAGTGAGCGTAGAATGCGATGTAAGTTTTGGCTTATAAGAAGTTTCAAAAACTGATATAGTCATACGTAATCAAAATATATTCTGTTCAAGTTTTGTTGAAGTGTGCTTAGAATGTGTTTGCCTTGTTTCTATATGCTATGTACTTTTTATTTTGTTTTATGCTTTAATACAGTGGTATTTAACCTTTTTTGTTCGCGTACCCCCAGATATAATTTATCTTCAACTTTGTACCCCCAAAGATGTTGGTGTATAATTCAAGTTATACGTAGTATATAATCTACATCTAAAATAAATTAAATAAATTACATTACTTATTATTCAGTGTTTATAATAAATAATTTTTTTTTTTAAGTTTCACGTACCCCCTAAGATATCTTTGCGTACCCGAGGTTGAATACCACTGCTTTAATTTATTGCTTTTTCACATTATTGTGAAAAAATATAAAATTAAGAGTGCACAATACCCATAATACGTTCTTAACCATATTGCTACAGCACTGTCAGAGACTGAAAATCATGTTCTGAGAAAAAGAGGTAGAACACTGCCAATTTCAGTCTTTCACGTAAAGTGCCTCATTCTAAGAACTTGTTTCGAATACTTTTTATTGTAAATCAATTTTAACATAATGTCTTTACATTTTGAACTATTTTTACAATATATACACACAGACACTAATATTTATTACTGTTTTTTATAAAAAATAATTACATAATTATTATAATTAAATCGCATGTAGTCTGTGATTATAATAGGGTTTTATATCTGTTTTTCAGGTAACAGTATAGTTTTCAATCCTCATCAGATTTTTAAATGTTCAGGTTTATATCTACTAACTAACTAGGTGGCTAATGGAACCCAAAGGTTCATCACCGAATTAACCATATCTGCTAAATTACTTTATTCTGAATATGGAATCTAAAGAACAATGTTAAAATTGATGTATTATTTGTGAGAAAATCAGAAAAACATGTAAGTGGTATAAGGATGTAGTCTTCACATACTGGATAGATTTAAAGGTAACGTTAACCACATTGTGGTGGTGTTATGTCATATAATCCGCTTTACATATTCAAATATTGTCTTAGAAGGTACAGATCCTTTGAAATAATTGAAGGAAGGCATTTTAATGGTTGTGTTTAAATATTTTGAGCTATATGTGTGATCTTAAAATATTAATAGTATTGTGAAGGTGTACTTTTTGGAAACATTGGCATTTGACAGTTTTTCACGCTACATCATATAGGTTTCTTTTTACTTTCGTATCCAGTACACACTATTCAGCATGGTGTGCATTAGTGCTTAGCAGGATTCACGGCCCATCAGTACATGGGTTCGATCGGGACCGCGACATTTAACGCTCCTGCTGTGACCCCCTTTTTGCGAGATGATGATGAGAGTGTAGTAATTGTTGGGATGCCACGAAGAAACCGGGGAAACCCCGGAGGAAAACTCCGTGATGCCGAGACCACGGCCTTGCCCAACACAAGTTGTAAATCTGAGCACCGTCGGGAATCGAACCCGGGACCACAGTATTACAAGCCCAGCGTTCTAACCGCGGTATATAGATCATTGTTACACTGACAGTGGAAAACCTTGGATCCGTCTGTTGTGAAAACCACAACAGACACAAATACGTAGACCTGGATGGGCCCCATAAGTTGTTCTTCCTTCAAGGTAGAAAATGAAGAACACCTAATAATAGAACAAAATTTGGAACAGTTTCTGTAGTACAAGCAAAAGTCCGTTGCATTTAAATCACTGCCTTTTGTTATGAAGGCTGATCATGACAATAGAAATGTAATTATTCTAGTCATAATTAAAATGTTTAACATTTTTATTTACTTAAAATATAGCTGTTAATTTTTATGTATGTGATAGAAATGATAAAGCATTTGAGGTTTAAACA